TGAACTGTTTATGATGATATGTTTTCTTTCAAATTAAGGCTAACAAGAATATATATATGAAATTACTATCGTAATTAAAATTATTGATTTGGTTTTAGATTGATTTGTTTGCTTAACGTTCAGTGGCAAATATTTCATACTTATTCAGGACGAGAACAAAATATAATTGATGCATTTGGTACGTTCTGTAAAGGATGTCGACCGAAATGAAGGGTGTGAAGTTTAGACAGCCACTGGAGATAAGGAGTATGCTAGATAGGGTAGAAATATTACCTTGCAACGGACCACCTACGTACTCCTAAAAATTGTTGCAAATATGTTTTAATGTACAGAGAGCGTGGCACTCTTTACACGAGACATCGGTTTTTTATTCTGATTGGACGTGGTTTCGTATTTATACATCCCACACAGCCAAACGAACGCTTCTCGTAAGCATGCGCTTTAAGGAAGTATGGGAGAGCTCATGTCACCATATGTGTTACCCATAGTCAACCCATGCGGTCAAAATTAGATTACGATTGTAACTCTGGAATGGATCAGAACATACTTCTCTAATTTAATCGTGGGTAAGGAGGAGTATGATTAGCGAATTTAGTGGGCTGTTTGCTAATGTCTAAATAACGAAAGAAAAGAAACAAATTATTTTATGTTCGTTTACACAAACGTCCCAATGCGTATAAATGAACAATGACCAAAGTATAATACATTAAATATATAACTTATCAGTTAAATTTGTCTGACGGTATTTACCTTTGGCAAGAAACGTGGATTATCCAAAATTCTTCCGTAAAAACCATTCATAATTGATACATTCTTTGCTAGCCACGACATTATTTGTCTGAATGTATTATGTAATACTCTAGGTCTTTTTTAAGTCAAAACATTATCAGTTCACACGAATTTGTTAATTTCTTCCTCAATAACAATAAGTCAGCCAGTCGTTGTAAATTTAGTCTCTTTGTATGAATTTTAAAAACCTTGAAAAACTGATGACCTGTTTCGTTCCGGTTCAAAATTGAGGTAAAATAAACTTTATCAAATATGCTGTGTGTATTTATAGTTAACGTGTACGATTCTTCGATGTTTATTTACTGTAATATGTTCTCCCAGAGGATGGAAAAATAAGCATACAAAAAAAAAAAAAAAAAAAAAAGGAAGTCAATGATATTAACTTTAGTGGTATATCATACTGTGCACTTCTTTTAGCATGCTGTCCTTGTGTCTCGATTTAATTTGTTGTGGAACTGTTTTCAATATTCATTATTTAGAATGAAAATGTTGACTGTGGTATAAAATTTCGATCGCGTTGACATCCCCCGTCCGGAATTACAAGAAAGACCCGTGTTGAAGAAGAGGGGTATCTATTTGCCGTAGCCACATGTGGTCGGACGTGGAAAGTTAAATCAGTTGCTCAATTTTCGACAAATTCGACTTTAAACGTGAAAAACACTCGCAATAACGTTTAACAGACCAGCAGAAGACCTTAAGAAGGAAAAATATTCAGACCTTACTCAGTATAGACCCCCTTTCAGAGGCAGTCCCATATGGCAAATATTTAGTTAGCCTAAAGTGTATTGCAATTTCCAAAGTTTGCACACATGGTCTTGAATTTGCTCGAACATATCTAATGTAAAAGGTTTTCAGAAAAGAAACACAATTTTAATTAGGGGTTAGGGACTTTCCTTTTTGAATTTTCATCGCAGTTCAGTATTTTTGTGATTTTACTTTTTTCATGTTTCACGTTTTACCATGGCATCAAACCAGAACGAGACGAAATTATATATTTTGTAAAGTGTCCTAATTTTCTTGTTGTATATCAACTTTAGAATACATTTTGGATTGGAAAATTATGTAGACACACATGAAACAACTTTAACATTGGTACATATAAAACTATAATGTGTAAGAAAGGCTGTGCATCATGCTTTCGCAAACAAAATATAATGGATGAAAAACTGTGAAATCAGCGGGTTTTCTCATTTGCATGAAATGAGCCCATGCACTTTGGACGCCACAACATTAAAAATATTGGCTTATTCATTTATATTTCTAACTTTCACACGTTCCACTATATTATTTTAAAATTTTGAGAAGTTCTCAAAAATTTCCCTTTTCTTGGGCCAAAATGAAATATGAATGCCCCTTCCTCGTTCCTGTCCTTTATCCCTGTTGACCCACTTACGTAATTAATCTTTTTTTTTCTCGTTCAGAATCTTCTAGATAATAGTTACTACTAGGCGTTAGCAAATACCAATCAATCGACATATTATATCAACGATCGTTTAATCTGAACTGTTAAAACCTATAATTGTTAAGTAACATACTGGCCCAAGAACAGAGTTATTTCGTAGTGCATTTCTTTTAGACAATACATTCAAATCAGCGATATCTCAAAAAGATTTAAGACAGTGTAGTGTACTACTTTTGGGACAAATTATATCAATATTATAGAAAAGTCTACCAGCTCTAACTCAAACTATGGACAATTTGATGTTAAGGGGTTCTTGAATTCATTTTGACAGCTTCGGACATACTAATTTTTTACCCTTTTCAACTGGCCATGGACCAAATCCCTACTTTACTCTAAAATTCATGACCAAAATTGTTTTACAGTGTAATTTCATCCCCCTACTTGCTATTTGAGACATAAAACATGAGGAAATAAATTCGGTATGAAAAACATTTGCAAGTAATACACTGTCCCCACTAGGGATTATATTTGTCAAAGGACAATAACTGTGTCCCCGGACCAATTGGCCAGTTCACATATCAATATCTTTGTTCGAAAATAAATAAATACAAAAATTCAACATGGTTTTGTGTCGACATGATGATAAATTACTCGTTGTGTATCCTCGTACACACAATATCTCTTTTAAGATATATACTTTGAATTGTTCACTGCGGAAGTAGAATTGCAAAACAGTGTCACATTTGGTTGACTGCTGTTGTGTACCATGATAACTACTGAATGCTTGCGATGTTATAATTTTTTTGGAGAGACTGCATGGTGTATTGGTTGCCAGTAAACACCAATATCTGGTGTACAGGTATGCACGGTGTTGCTGTTTTGTCGCCGTTGTGTATTCCGTATTACAAAAACATCTAACTATCTAATCATAAGAATATTGAAAAGACTGTAGACAAAATAAAAACAAACAATTTACAATTGCGGAAAAGCAAAATCAAAACAGAAACCAAAACAGAAAAGTGGAGAACAGAGAGCTATTGACCACGCTACTGCTACAAGAAGAGATTCTCGTCGTGACTATGTGTGCATTTAGTTACTATATACGGACATGGGTACAACAGTCACCTATTATGTCTTGATTGGTGGATTAACGCCACTTCAGCACTATTGGCTATTTCTTGGCGGTCAGTTTTTATTCGTGGGGAAGCTGGAGTGTCCGGAGAGAACCACCGCCCTTCGGTAAGAAAACTGACAAATCCTAGTCAATTAAGATTAGAATTGAATGCACCGGCAACGTGCGGGATTCGAACTCACAACTTTAGCGTTGACAAGCTAGTGATACAGTAGTTGGACTACTTAGACCACTCGGTAAACCGACGCCCCTATTATGTCTTGAACAATATGCTTTAATGATCAACAAATTTTTAGAAAATGGTGCTAGATTTTTAAATGAACTTGAATAAAAAAAGCGAACAAATGAACTACAATTATGTCTTTCCGTTAGGTCTCAAGCATATCCGATGTCAGAAACACGGCTTTGGTTTTCCAAACATTTTGTCTGAAGCGTATCCGAGAGAGATACACGGCTTTGGCTTTCCGAACATTTCGCCTAAACAGTATCCGATGTCAGATACACGGTTTTAGCTTTCCAAACATTTGGTTTCAAGCGTATCCGATGTCAGAAATACGGCTTTAGCTTTCCAAAAATTTGGTCTAAACGGTAACCGACGTCAGGTAAGCGATCCTGTGACTCTTTTCACAAAAAATCTTACGATTAAAATTGATCGTAAGTTATACTGAAATGTGTATGACTTACGAGTATTTTTACTCTTAAGATTTTTTTATGAAAAGAGCCGCTGGCTTTCCGAATATTTGGTCTCAAGCGTATCTGATGTCAGATACACGGTTTCAGCTTTCTGAACATTTGGTCTCAAGCGTATCCGACGTCAGATGCACGGTTTTTGCTTTCCGAACATTTATTCTTAAGCATATCCAATTTTAGATACTAGTACACGTTTTAGCTTTCCGAACAGTCGGTCTCAAAGCGTATCCGATGTCAGCTACAAGGCTCATGCGCACGTTAATCTGTCTCAAGAATTTTTTACTATTTGGAATCTTCTTAAACACTGGATTTTGTTTAGAATCCTTACTTAGTGATAATTAAAAGAAATACAGTGCATGTGTCAATGAGGCAGTAACTCAACAAATCCAAAGACATCTTAGGGTCAATTTAATTTCTGCATCAATAGACACGTGTTCATTTAATTTAGTTTGTCAAGATCGTTATCGTCCCGAGTCTAGAAAATTTGTGCTTATAATATTAATGAATAAATTTAAAAGAGAATCAAACATATACCTTTTACATCAATTTCCCTGAAGGACAAAAAAAAACAACAAACAAACCCCACACAATATAAAACTATAGAAGTTTCTGACTGGGTACAGGTACATGCTCATGTGATGGGGTTTAACTAGTTTAACTATGGCTACTGTTGGGATTCGTTACTTAGGACTGTTATTAGGAACCTTTTCTTTGTTACAATTATAGGTAGGTATCCTTTCTTAGTAAGAATCCTTTTCAGGTATTCTTACTCAGTTACAATGTAGAGCTATTGTTAGGTTTCCTCATTCATTCGAGTAAATGTTAAGTATCCTTACTCATTTAGATTTTTTGTTAGGTATCTATACTCAGTTGGTGTTATTGTCAGGTATTCTTACTTCTTTAGTTTGATTTTTTTAGTATCTTTACTTCTTTAGTGTTATTGTTGGGTATCCTTACTTCTTTAGTGTTATTGTTGGGTATCCTTACTTCTTTAGTGTTATTGATGTGTATCCTTTCTTCTTTAGTGTTATTGTTGGGTATCCTTTCTTCTTTAGTGTTATTGTTGGGTATCCTTTCTTCTTTAGTGTTATTGTTGGGTATCCTTACTTCTTTAGTGTTATTGTTGGGTATCCTTACTTCTTAAGGGTTAGTGTCAATAATGTACCTTTAAATTAAAGAAGAACTATCAAAATTAGGAGTATACAAAATGTAGCTGTCAAGTGTTTTAACATATTACGAAACACCATCGCAGTTGAGCAAATACACATATCAATAATAAACAGGATTGACTTTAAAAAAAGATGCTTCAGTTGAACGCCTTATTTAATTCATTTATTTAGATAATGCAAACAATCACGTTTGTCTAACGTTTTGTGTCGAATCCTTGCTTTTATCAATATATACAAGTATTATGTAGTCTTAGTTGTATCTTTGAAGCTCAGAAGGGCGAGATAAAGTAACATAAAAGTATTAATTAGAGACAGTATATATTTTTTAGCATTTGAAGCAGACATTGCAGCATCAGGCTTATTTGTATTTATCCTTTCCTAGAAAGGAAAGGATATTTCTTTTACTCCTATAAATACGCAATTAAATCCCCAAACAAATGTCTAACAGTAAATAAATGCACTCGTCTACTAAGCGACCTACCTATTAGTCTCTACCAAAACATGATTTATTAGAAAAAAATCAAAAACTACGAATATCTGTGACAGAGACTTTCTATTTGAATCACACTGATTTCTTTTTTTCCCATATAGTTATGATTTTCTCTCCATAAAACAAAAAATATTGCATACCTTTTGTTACCCATTGACATATATTTTGTTGTTGTTAAAATAATGAATTGAAATGTGAGGAGTATAGAAATTAATCATTTAAATACTGTTATCGAGAGACATGTAATATTCATGCTTTTGAATTACTAATGAAATTAACATTTTTTTTTTCAGATACAGGAAGTTATGTCTCATTATCTAACAGATTCATAGTCTGTGTTTTATGCGTGTTCATGTATTTCGTATTTTTTATATTTAGTATGGTCAGGAAACTTCTTTTACAAGGCAATTTTACGACAATATTGATTATGAACCTTTAAGGTTCGTGTCAATTAATGTATTTCTGACTTGTATATTTATGTCTTCAACCAATGGCATCATATTTAATTTCAAACATTTTGTAGAAAACGAGAATTATTGAATGTTTTAGTTTCAGTAATAAAGTCCCGATGTTTGAATGAAATTTTATAGCTCCATTAAGCAACATCTGGCATCACATGTTTGTTATTGATTAAGTAAAAATTTGTATATTTCTTATTTTAAAACTTCACTTTTATGATAATATTTCACGTTTGATTATTTATATATTTCATTTCGTTTGAAATTGGGTTTTCCCGTTTGGTATTTGTATTAATTATATAAAGATGGGAACTAGTGTAACTAGTTCTGAAACTAGTTCTGCAAGAGTATGTACTATTTATAAAATTTGATGTTACGTGTACAAGGCACGAGAAAAGTTTTGGCGGTTTCTACGGGTAGGGTTTTATGGTACTATATAAAGTTTGGCATTTAAATGTATTAGTATCGAAGGTGCTCGCAGTTACGTCGAATCGTCACCAAGTTAGTCACATTAGTATATATACAGTGGCTGCTATGTTTATTACATGTATTTTTATATGTTGGTTGTATCAAAGATACCTGTATTGTAAAGTTTAATAAAATAATGTATCGCAAGAGAAGATAATATGTTACTGCGAGCAACTAATCCTATTTCTGTGTTTGTTTTGTTTAAAGCCTATTGAATTTAGAGTAGAAATACTTTAAATTCGGACGAGCAGGGCGAGGGAGAATTTAAAGGGTATGAAGTACCTATATATACTTACAGTAAATTATTCAACTCGTGGAAGAGATATAGATACAATGGTAGTTAAGTTATCCGTTGCATTATGGGTAAAAGATGAAGTGGTGTATACGTCAATGAGACAGCCACATATTGGCGCAAAAAAAGATATCTCCATATTAACGTTTGTATCATTTGTCCAGTAAAGGGCCACATGTATTTTCTCAACTATGTCTAATAATATAACCATGGAGAACAACTTTCTACAAGAAGATTGTACTTTCCTTTTGAAATTTCTATGGAAAGAGGAATGGCCAATATCTTCCGAATTTATCACACACAAGGGCTATTTTCAAAAACTCAAAATCTTTACTAAACGTATAAGTAATTTGATTTTCTGCACATCTGAGCGAGCTTTAAAGTTTCACACTATGTCGAGCGGTAGATATTATACATTTATTTCCCGTGCCGGAAGGAGATATGAAGATTTGTTCACCCAAGAATATTCATATTTCACGAGGGCTCTGCCCGAGGGAAATATGATTTTTCGAGGGTGAGCAAATCTTCATATCTCCCGAGGCAAAGGGAAATGAATGTTTTATTCCACTGCCTATGCTTTGTTTACTATCAATACATTAAATATTATTTTGCATAAGTTTTTCTTTCTTATCCGCTTGTTTTTGTAAGTCAAACTAAACACGACATACCCATTTATAAACAGTAAGGATCAAAATTTAATTATAAGTCTTTTTGTTTTATCGTCTGAAATAATTTGAACATGATAATGATTTTTGCTATCGCTATATTTAAGAAGAATAAGAAGTTCAAAACGTTATGTACATTAACCACGCGTAACGTCGCACGAAGTAATCCCGACATTTCAGAGGGGAATATGATCCTCGGAATGGAATATGAAGATTTGTTCAATGACACGTGGGATAGTCTCAACCAATCAAATATTGATTAAACTATCAATATGGTTAAACAGTGGAATAATAAACGATATCTATACGCAGAAAATCCGATAATCTGTTAACGTATTAACATTTCTGGATTTTTTGAATAACAGAGCCGGTTGACCATTCGGGGAAGAAGAAAATATCTTTCGTCATTTTGTCATTTTTGATGAGATATTGTTTTTTTTTATTTGTTCTACATCTACACCTACATTTAGGCCCGTTTATTTCTTTTGCATGTGGCAAGTTTTATAACAGTTACATGCATCCATCTCTCTAATAGGTGTATAATATTAAAAAATAGTTTGTATGGTAATGTTTGTCCATTAAGGTTTTCAAAATAGCTCCAATCTTAAATTACATGATACTTTAAATTAAAGTTTATTTTGTGATAACAAGTAGGGCCAATGAGCCTGAATTTGTTTCATAGAATGGACATTTACAAAATGTCTTTCAATCTTTACTTAAATTCACAGTATAACAGCTTCATGTGATTTCTTTGAAGTTCTATATTGTGACGTATTTCTGAACATGTAACAAATTTTAATTGCCTAAAGATGAAGCTAAAATTTTAGTAGATTTTGGCAAAGAGGTATGCCAATTTCACAGGCATTTATTTCAAATAATGGACCATTTTCAAAATGTCTTGCAACTTTAACAAAATTCTACAGTAGCACAGATCACTGGGTATACTTTGAGGTTTTAACAATAGCATGGATTACTTCTAAGCAGATGACCAACTCACAACTGCCTGAAGATAGCAATTTTGACAAATCAAAATGTGTTGGAAATCGTTTCAAGTGTATGATATAGACCCTTTCATAATCAAATTCTAGTAGGATATGCGACTGTTTATTTTGACCTTCTGAGACAAACTAATACAGAACAAATTGGTACTACCTCTTTTGAGTAATACCGGTGACCGCAAAAATGATAAAGAATGGCAATCTTACCCAAAACCAAGATTCAATTGGTAGTCAAGCTGGGTTTTTTTTCTTTCAAATACAAATTAATTTATCCTTTTAGAATGTCATTCGAGACAAAAGTTGACAAAAAAACATGTTAAATTTGCAATATTGAACTTGTATCAAAACCTGTCTTCAATAACTATGATTAGCGATGAATTGTATTTTGATTTGATTGATATGTGTAAATTTATTGTTAAATGTTTAAGGATATTTTTAGGCCCTCTAATATTTAAATTCCAGTTTGTTTTAACTAGTTCTTGATTTTGACCCCGTGAGTAAAATAAATCCAGGGGAAAGTGGCCCTACCTCTTTTAATCTTTGATTAATATATTCAATTTACATGAAACTACAAGAGTGCATGATTTCCCACAATAAACTATGTCGTAGATAACTACTTTAAAATAACTGTCATACAAAACGGAAAAATATCAAAATTGGCACCGCGACGAAAATAAGCAACATTTAGAAATTTTATAAGTTATAGAATATTGTAGTTATTATACAAAGCATCCAAGCAAGCAGAAATTATCTGTTATGTTATCTTATTGCAATGTTAATTTATATAGACAGGTGTCATCTTTTATTAGAAAGCTAACTAACTTATTGTGATATGTATATTGATTTGTATGAATTTTTATTTGTTTTTGTTTTTAAATGTTACCATTGTATTATAAATCATGTTTATTATTGTATATTTACCTCATGTTATATGTGTCTGAGCGTTGCTTTACAATAAAATTCTAGAATAATAGTCTTACCTGAACGTTTGACTTTGATTGGACAAAAAAAAAAGAATTGTGAAGCATGTGTTATTAGTTGAACAAAATTAACTGATGAATGAATATGAAAATAAAAAATAAAACATGACACACGTGTTGTCATATTTCAATGATATGTTACAAAAGCAAAATAGGCATAAAATATGAAAAAAGACTCGGCAAAGATTCAGAATAATAAGATATATTAAGTGTGAATAGATAAATTATTATAGATTATCACAGATAACTGCTTTTCAAGATGTTATTTAATATGATATTTTAGAATGAATTAAAAGTTTATTTATCAACTGTGATTACCCATTTTGTTAGACATAATATATTGAGTATATAATTCAATTTCCAATTACTTTTTTTATCAGTGCGGCGAAATCAGTGCCGACGGACTGAAATGTATGTGTTTGTCCTCAATATACACCAAGTTTTCAGATACACCAAGTGTTCAGCAATTCACAAACAGATTTAATTATTTGCAATACTTGCAAAGAAAAGTTTGCATTAAAAGGGTGTCAATTTGTAATTCTGTTTGGACTACAGTAACTATTTAACAAACATGATGATTGTGTTTGTTGGGTCAGTGGAAGAGCAAATTATAACATTTACATCATGACTCGTACTTTGCATTTC